GCGCGGTGCACTGGCCTCAGCGCGCTGGCCGCAGTGGCCATTGGAGGGTGAACCAACGGCAAAGGAAGACCTTTCTCTTTCTCTCTCTCTCTCTCTCACTGTCCACTCTGTCAAAAAAAACCAAAAAAACAAAAACAAAACAAAACAAAACAAAACAAAACAAAAAACAAAACTACATTGAAACCATGGCGCACTCCCAAACACATCATGAAATGTTTTTGTGAATTCCTACAACTACAACACATTTGTGTTAGAATTTTGGCAAGTTCATCTTTCTTGTTTTCTTGGATGAGGATTCAGATGCCACCCTGTCTCCCAAAGATGGTATAGAGCTTGGGCTCAGCACTGGTCATGTGTAATGTACAATATGCCCACAATTACAATGACTGCTTGCCGCTTGTTCAAATCAGAATTAAACAAGAGGGACAATGTAATTTATTTAGACTAGTATAAAGCCAGATTTGTAACAAACCTTAATAGGTGCAAGCAAGTAAAATATCTCATTTTGTTTTCATGATCTCATGAAAAGAATTCCATTCACATTTGAGCTAAATCAGGCTGAGCCTCTTAAATTTTACAAAGAAACAAAGTAGCACAGTTTAGAGGGCTTTGCACTGCAAAGAGAGGAGTAAAGGTCATGGCTCCAAATATGGATAAAGCACCATCAACTCCATTCTATTTACTTACTTTTAAAAAATATTTATCTATTTATTTTAAATATTTACACAGAGAGAAGGAGATACAGAGGAGAGATCCTCCATCCATTTGTTCACTCCACAGATGGCTGGAACGGTCAGTGCTGAGCCAGGCTAAAGCCAGGAGCTCTTCCAGGCCTCCCATGTGGGTGAGGGGGCAGGAGCCAAAATGCTTGGGCTAACTTCTGCTGCTTTCTTAGGCCATTAGCAGGGAGCTGGATAGGAAGTATAGCAGTCAGGACATGAACCACCGCCCATATAGGAAGCCAGCATTGTGAGCTGCAGCTTTACCTGCACTGCAGCTCCACCCCTCATTAACTCCATTTTAAAAGTAGGGCACACTCCCATATACCAGGACGTTTGGTGACTGCTTTATGGTAACAAGAGTGTTCTCTAATAAATGTAGATATACACAGCGTATAAGAAAATATTGTTTTCTGTAGCATTGCTTGGGTTCATGGCTGAGGTCTCTATAAAACAAAACAGATTCACAACAGAAAAGAATAAAAATTCAACTCATGTAAGTTTCATGTTATAAAAAAGCCATCATAAGAGAAAGAAAACCTGAAAAAATGGATCAAAGTCGACCAATCACTGTGTTCTGGGGTTACGTTTGCTGAATGACTGAATAGAGGGAATGAGACTGGATGAGAAAGGAAGATCTGGGGTGACAATCTGAGTGGAAGTCAGCGTGGCCAGTTTGTTCCCATCCTTCTGTGTGACTGCATCTTCAGAGAGAGGAGGGTCCTTTCTGGGTGCAGGGAGGGCACTGCTCACTAAAGCCCTTTTTCCTACTCAAGAGAAGATTAGAAACCCTTTCCTAAATTTCATGATCCAATTCAGAAGAGAAAGGTGATCTGATTCTGTGTTCTCAAAGGTCAAGGTACTAAAGTTGGGGATAGCATGTCCTAAACTCCTCTAACACCAAACTTTTCCCCTTCCAATGGGATTCGGCACATTCATGGGGTGGCTACAACACATGTGACAGCAGTTGTGATTCCTCACAAAGTTCCCATTACCCCACCATCCCCCTCCCTATGCAAATCAACGTTAACTCAAAAAGTCAGTTGACCCAGGAAATCACAAATAGTTCCAAGTCATTACTGTGGATTCTGGACAGGATATGCTGCTAAATGCTAAAATTCTTCCTGCTTTGCCTTTTAAATAAAACAAGTTAGATGATTTCGAAATGATTCTAAACACACAACTTGTGATGGGAGTAACGTATGAGAGGGCTTAAAAAACTCATGGAAATTATCATTTCATTTTTCCATTAACTTCAGGTATGGTTTTCTGTGAAAAGAGTTACTCTTTACCTCCTAGCATGTACCTCAACCACTGGCCTCCAAAATATATATAAACCTAAGGATTTGACAGGCACTTTGAGAGGGTAGGCTGTGGGGCTCTGCACTGCCGGGCACCTCTCAGCTCTCTCAGGATGAGCAGGGTGTGCACTGGGCTGTCAGAACATCCTCATGCCTTGCTGGCCAACACTGCACCATTCTCCAGTTTCGAGGGAACTATGTGCCTTTCCCTATTTCTGCTGTGTTGGTCCAGCCAGGTCTCACAGGAATTCCACACACAGAGGGACACTCCAACTTCAGTCAGATTTTGCATGCCACAGAGGCCTGCTTCCATCTTAATTGAGAAAACTGATTTTAATCGTTGGAGTCTAAATTAGGACTCACTCATTACATGATTAATGTACTTCAAATAGTGAGTAGATTGTAATTCCTGGATTTGTTGGCACTACTCCTCCCCATTTAAGCTTTGTGAAGAAGAAAATAAAACTATATAGTAACGAACTATGTGATTTATAAAATCTTGTAGTAATCATTTCCATATTTTAACCATATCAGATTCATTTTTGGTCCCTTGAAATGAAGAACACATTCTAAGTCCCTGAACTTGGTTCATACTCCCCACAGCCCTCTCCAACAAACTCAGAATCTCTTAACTCCAAATCAAGAACTAGGCCATTGTTAAAAATTGTAACAAAGCAAACGTGACATAAAATCTAATTATTTTAACCATTTTCTTTCTTTTTTTTTTTTTTTTTGACAGGCAGAGTGGACAGTGAGAGAGAGACAGAGAGAAAGGTCTTCCTTTGCCATTGGTTCACCCTCCAATGGCCGCCGCTGCCGGCGCGCTGCGGCCGGTGCACCGCGCTGATCTAATGGCAGGAACCAGGTGCTTCTCCTGGTCTCCCATGGGGTGCAGGGCCCAAGTACTTGGGCCATCCTCCACTGCACTCCCTGGCCACAGCAGAGAGCTGACCTGGTGAGGGGCAACCGGGACAGAATCCGGCGCCCCGACCGGGACTAGAACCCGGTGTGCTGGCGCTGCAAGGCGGAGGATTAGCCTACTGAGCCGTGGCGCTGGCCTATTTTAACCATTTTCAAGCATAACTTTTGGTGACACTGACTACATATGATGCGGCATGTGTATTTTAATTTTTATTCTAGGCTCTTGTCTTGGCCAGAGGACTGTCCAAAGGGAGGGAGCCTGGGGGAGGGGAGACAGAAAGGGCACCTGGAAGCACTCCCAACCATGGTCAGTTTTGAAACAGTGTTGTTGGCCTCTTTTATGAGGAAGGGGGTGGTACTTCTATAGGCATGAAGCCACCTGGGAGTTACATGGCACCTCTACAAGTTCCATGTGGAGCTTCAATTGTTCATGGCATCTTCCTGTAGTTCCTGAATGAAGCAAATGCATCCTGGGAAAGGGAGCTTTTTGACTGATAAGGATTACATATGGAGGCTTGTGGCTTCCAGCTCAGCAGACCTAAACTAGCAACCTGCCTCCTTATTCCACATTAGATTCACTTCATTATCATATAAATGATTTTAGTCCAATCTTTGAAAAAAAATTCCAGAATCAAAGAATCACAATTTGCCAAATACAAGCCCCTTACCTTGATTGATTTTGCTACCATTCTTTATTGAGTGGTGTGATTTGTGGGTTTCTTTCATGTTTGTCCATCTTCTTTTTTTACCATAAAAAGTCACATGATTCATATACTCAAGATCATATGAAGCATATTATCAATATAGTTCAGGTACAAAAGGCTCTGAAGGAGTCCTCTGGCCCACTACCCACTCATGGTAGGTATTTTTCCATATGGGGCAACCCACACTCATGCATGTATGTGTGTTTACTTTCTTGCCATTTTGAATAAAATTTATCACTTTGGCAACTTATACATGTCTGCACATAGAATACTTCCTTTGTGCAAGACAAGAGCCTAGAATAAAAATTAAAATACACATGCTGCATCATATGTAGTCAGTGTCACCAAAAGTTATTCTCTCAGTATCAGACCATAGAAGTCATGTATACTTGGTCTCATGAGACCCAGTTTTGGCAAAACTTGGAAGGATCATCTTTTGACCTTCAGCATAAACATAAGGGATCTATTTTTTTAGCGATTTTTAAAAAACTTTTATTTAATAAATATAAATTTCCAAAGTACAGTTTATGGATTACAATGGCTCCCCCCCCATAATTTCCCTCCCATCCACAACCCTCCCATCTCCCACTACATTCGCATCAAGATTCATTTTCAATTCTCTTTATATACAGAAGATCAATTTAGTATATATTGAGTAAAGATTTCATCAGTTTGCACCCACATAGAAACACAAAGTGTAAAATACTGTTTGAGTACTAGTTATAGCATTTATTCACATTGTACAGCACATTAAGGACAGAGATCCTACATGAGGAGTAAGAGCACAGTGACTCCTGTTGTTGACTTAACAAACTGACACTCTTGTTTTTGGCATTAGTAATCACCCTAGGCTCTTGTCATGAGTTGCCAAGGCTATGGAAGCCTTTTCAATTCTCCAACTTCAATCATTTTTTAGACAAGGTCATAGTCAAAGTGGAAGTTCTCTCCTCTCTTCAGAGAAAGGTACCTCCTTCTTTGATGGCCCCTTCTTTCCAATGGGATATCACTCACAGAGATCTTTCATTTAGGCTTTTTTTTTTTTTCCCAGAGTGTCTTGGCTTTCCATGCCTAAAATACTCTCATGGGCTCTTCAGCCAGATCCACATGCCTTAAGGGCTGATTCTGTGGCCACAGTGCTGTTTAGGACATCTGCCATTCTATGAGTCTGCTGTGTATCCCACTTCCCATGCTGGATAGTTCTCTCCCTTTTTTATTCTATCAGTTAGTATTAGCAGACACTAGTCTTGTTTATGTGTTCCCTTTGACTCTTAGACCTATCATTATGTAATCTATAAACTGTACTTTAGAAATTTATATTTATTAAATAAAAGTTAAAAAAATAACCTTTTGACTTAATTATAGGAGATCAAGTGAGTGCCATAATCCAGATACAGTCAGTGGACACTCATGAGGGCAGAAATCCTTAGCATGGCTGCTGTGTTGTTGGTTCCAGTTCAGAGTCAGGCAACAAACCAAGGATCCACAAGGTGCGCCACACAACGAGAAGCTCTGCTGTGACGCAGCACTGAAAGACCTGCCCAGGAGCACAGGAGAGGCCTGGCTGCTTTCCAGTGCTCTGGGCCAATCTGCCCTTCTTTCTTTATGTCCTCTCTGTTTGGCACATGCTTGATTCACACTGCTTTGTAACCCACAGCCTGCTTGTGATAGTTCCTGTTCTACTGTTTAATGTCTTCCTCATTGCTAAGGTGGTCAAAGCATCTCTTCCCTGATTCACTCATATTCATGCAGTCACACAAAGGATGGGAAAGAGCTTTGGGAAATTTGAGTTCAACAGACTGGGGAACTGACTTCTTTCCATTTACTGAGTTCCAGCAGCAGAATTGTCTTCCAAGCCCCAACCTCCTAACTCTATCCTAGCCCTTAGAAAAGACTGTATCTGGACAAAAGCACATCCAGTCCCAAGGACAGAGGATGGCATTACAGTCTCATTTCTTCTCTTTGCTATGTGCCATGATCATCTAGCCCCCTGGGAGAGCGGCTCCCCACTGCATCAAAGGGGAGGGGCATACATACATCATAAGGGGCATTCTGTGATGCGATAACCGGGGGGGGGGTGTAGGAGATAAAAGTGGGCGTAGTCTTAGGCATGTGTCCAGTTACTCATTTTGACTCTCTTTGGCCAGATGAGTAACTAGAAGCATTTTCGCAGAAAATGACAAAAAAGCTACCTCTGATTCTCCCGCGTCACCCCCAGCCTCACAGTCCTGCTCCTTCAGATTCCCGTTTTCCAACCTGCCTGCCTCACCTGGCTCCTCCCTCTGGCAAACCTAAGCCTGTCCTCCAGCACAAGAAATCTTCAGCTGCCTGCCCTGCCCGTCTCCCTGCTCTGACCAGCATCTCTTCTCACAAGGACATTCCTACCTCCAAGACCTCCCAGACCTCCAAGCGCACCCTGGCCTCTGTTCCCTCCAAGTCACCCACTCACCGCCCTGTTCGTCTGGCTCCCCTTTCCTGCTTCTCCTCTGTCTGGGCCCCGACTCCTCCTCCCAGCCCCTCTTACTAGTCCTCAGGTCTCTGTTCTTCACTGTCACCCACCGCAGCCCAGACCTGCAGATTCTCAGCTCTTAGCTTCGAGATCTTACCTTCTTGATGGGCCAGGACAGTTTGGAAACAATCCAGACAAGAGAGGTCAGTGACGTCCCAGGAACATGGCCTGATGGGGAAAAGAGGATAACAAGTAGGCAAACTGAGATCACTGTAGGACCGTTTCCATGGTGACAAGATCTCAGTAATCCTCCTGCTAACTGTATATCTCCTTCATCTTCAAATGCTCATTCTTTTCAGAATGAGAGGTACCAATAATGATGTCTTTTTCCTATCAGGCACTTCACATCCTCTCTGTCTATAAGAAGCCTTCAATCAGCTTCCACACCTGCAAGTGCCTTCCCTTGGGAACACAACCTGGAAGCTCAGAGCTGACAGCAGGACTAGTGGCCCCTAAGGTAAGAGTGTGCAAGAGGATACCTTTAATCTGCTCACAGGAGAGAAAGCTGGTCTGACCTGGGTTTCTGTGGACAACTCTCCGGGCACCAGGTTGCTGTTATACACGGACAGCCAGGGTTTATTCTTTTTTCCCTCCACAAAAGAAGTTCACTGTGTTCTGATCTCAGCCTTTGAGGTTGAGTTCCCCTGTCAGCCACTTACAACCCGGCATGTGATAGGCACCACAGTCTAGATGGCAAGAACTCACATTTCATTTAGTTGTATATGAATTTTTGGGCTATTCAACTCACAGTTTCCAGGTATTCCTTCTCCACACCCATGAAGCTTCACCACGTCCACAATCCTCTAGGATCGAGGAACAGACTCAGTCACACTCCATGCAGGTGTCTGGGCTCATGCTTTCTCCTCTCTGGTATACTGTGGCATAATGTTTCAGTTTCCTCAGACTCTGTTATTCTCAACGTATGTCTCCAGAACACAGAAATGGTTCCATTCTCATACAAACTGCAGCCAATACATGTGCCTAGTGAACACTTGATGTGGCTAGAATGGCTGTGGAACTAAAGTCTAATTCATATTTGATTCATTTATTCATGGCTGGCACACACTATTCTGGACTGTGCCACTCTAGACCGTGAGGTTCTTCTTTGTAAGTGCCAAATGGGTGCCTGGCCTATGATGGGCAGGCAGCTACGCACCAACATGAACTACAAGGCTGTTTTTCTCTAGTTCACAGGAATGCCTGAAGGCTCCAAGTCACGAGATGATACATGGAGGAACGTGCAGGTGGTGAGTCCTGGGGTCCTCAGTCTCACTGGGAGACTGCACAGAGGATGACACGGGCTTCACAGAGGACTGGGAAGCCTCTAAGGTTAGTAACACTGTGGGACAAGTATCAGAGTTCTCTGATTACATCCCAGAAACAAGAATCACCACACAGACTCAGAATATACTAACATAGTTACCCTAATGCCAGTTTATTAACTCATGTCAATATGACACTCTTATCCTCAACAATGAATTCACTCAGCAAACATTTAGATGTTTGATGCTACTGCCACATTGTCTTGGGTCACACTTAGATTAATGGTTAGTTACTAGCTCAATATATAAAGTTCAGTTTCATTAGTTTAAAACATATGTCTTAAATTCTTTTTACACATGAGGCTTAATTTTGAGGTTTCAATAATGTAAGTATTTAGAGAAGCATCTGGTACATGGAGCTCAGTAAATGTTATTATTTTCATTATTATTATTAGGGTATAATGGTTGTAGATCATGGAGCTTCTGTCCTATAATAGAGAAGACTGAGTAATAAACACATTTTCATATAAGTAAGGTATAGGATTGTTGTGGCTGCAGCGCACAAACTGGGCATCAAGTCAGGGTGCAGAATTCTAGGAAGTCTTCCTGGTAGAGGTGATCACAAACAAGGCACAGCACTTCAGGTAAGTTACATAGAAAAGCAATATAAAGAGCAACATGAGTGCTATCTGACGATGGGCAGCAGTCTGCCAGGCCACAGTACAGTAGGGAGAGAAGGGGGCCTGTTTGGCAATGAAGGAAGAAGGGTGTCTTTCCTGTGATTCCCTTCTTCTTGACCCCCACTACCATCAAGTAGAATCTGATGGAAGTAGAATGTTGTGTCTGTGTGGGAGTGTGGGTGGGAATGGGGAGAGGATGGAGTCACAGGATTGTGAAGGAGCAGCGTACAGAGGAGCAGATCAGGAGCAAAGGAAGTAAGGTGTTATCATGAGGGGACGCACTAGCTAGAGTAATGATACCTTCTGGGACACGGGGCACTAAGCGATGTCACAGGTGATGAGGATTTTCAGAACCAAGCAGTAATACCATTTACCTTGGTTCACTTTCTTTTATTATATTCTCACTTATGCTGTTTAGACCTATTTCTCACATGTTATAGATGACTTAAATAAGATCAAGAGACATTCTGCCACCTAGTTGGTAGTAGAAGAAGGACAGGAACCTCTGACTACAAAGAGCAGGTTCATTCAATTGTCACATTGCCCCCCCTAAAGCTGAGAGTTGATAGGGTAGAAGAGTTGCAAAGTCATAAGTTAAGTGACTTGAATATTCCTGGAAAATTTTTCACAAAAACCTTGTAGTGCATTGAGGCTATCTCCTGTGTGAGATGCCCTTATCAATAACCTGGGAAATAAGAGAATGTGTAACTGGAACCAGAGTTAATATTGCTATGCATAATTGAACTCCTTGTTATGTCTCAGCCTCAACCTCACCCTTGTCCCCACCACATGTGTATTGAGAGCCGCTCTCCCACAAGACTGGGGAGCTGCTGGAGAACTCAGCTGGCAGGACGCAGTCTTGCTCATTGTTCCCCAGCTAACACACTGTTTCTCAGCAGAATGATAGTAAATTCTCCTCTTAGCCTTAGGAAGCTGTGATGATTTCAGAAGGGTGCTTGAGCCTTGCTAGTGCAAAGGCACTCAGGAAAGGCTCAGAATGATACCTGTTAAAGGTCATCCTGTAGCTCAGCCAGAAAGGGAAGGACTCCATCTGTGTATCTGGGTGATGGAAGGGTGTATGCAATGGTGCAGGTAGGAGAAACCACAGGGCTAACAGGTCAGGTTTTCACTCCACCAGCAGACCAGACCAAACACCCACCTCTCTCTCCCAGGTTTACTGTTAACGCAGAGATAGGTCAGATACACTTCTTGTTTTCAAGTACTTCAGTGGAAATGAATGCACGTGTATGTGCACGAGATAGATAACAGAGGGTATTGACTGTGGCGTGTGCTTTAAGGTGGAGCAGCATGTAACTCAGCCCACAGTCATTTCAGAAGATGATTACTCAGGGGGAACCCACTCACCAGTCTTTTACCTCCTAGGTCTGACACATGCTGTGGAACTCTTCCCTGGCACTGCTCAGGCAGCTTCAGTACCAGGAGAGTTCCTGAGAAGCTGGGCACACGGCTGAGTTCCTGAAGACACGGAGAGTTCCAGGCAGGTATTGGAGCACTGGTGGATGTCATTACCAGGATTCAGCATGCAATGCTGCTTCCCAGAGATGGCACTGACACACCACTGGCCAGGGACAGTAGAGAGAAGCCTCTGTCAAGAAATGGCAGAGAGATGCCAGTGCCAAGATGCTATAGGAGGACTGGGACCTGATCTGCTCTAGAATATTTTCAGAGGGAGGCACATGTCAACATTGCAGAAACTCTACTGCATTTACTGAGTTTCTCCACTAGGAGCAGAGGTCTCTGGAAGGCCCCAGGGAAGAAGGAAAGCTCTGAACTGTACTTTCCCTGAGAGAAAACGTCTCTCCGACCCAGCCATTGTGGATGCCTCAGGAACCCCTGAGGCCACGTCAGAGCACGTATATTAGATGCATGGGCATGCAGCCATGTGCTTAAGATGGCATTGTGAAAGATGAGTGTTCTATAATTCCATTCTTCCAAGTTTGAAATTTCCTGATTTTTTAAATGGATTTTTTCTGCTTTTTAATAAAATAATGTGTTTATCTCATACTTTCTACTTTTGCCTGAGCCCTGGTACGAGGCTGTTCAATTGACTCCAAACCCAAGGTTCTGCGACTTTGCCTCATCTGTGCACCCAAGAGACATGAAACAGCTCCTAAACACCACAGAGCCTCTTTGAAACTCAGGATCCACTCTCCACCCCCTTGGCTGACCCACAGGAACCCCACTCACCAGCTGATCAGCCTCCTTCTGTGGCTCCAGAACTCCCTGCTCTGCCATAGCACTGTGGTTTCAGATTAAGAAACCTTAGAGTTGTTCTCAAGGCTTCTCTCCCTCACTGAGGAGGATCCCTTTCCAGGATTCCTGCCTTTGAAAGACAGCATCGCCTGGGAGCAGGGATTCCCCACTGCTACACACTTAAATCTACCCCCTGAACTGTGCCGAAATCTGCTTCCCAAAAGAGCCTCCCTCATGCTCTGATGGATCTGATGGGTTCCCAGCTACTCTCTCCTTCGTACAAACTGGTCCTTTCCACACTTAATGTGCACCCCTAGAAGTCCAATTTGATCACATCAATCTTTCTTTCAACCACAGCAGTGAACCTGGTGTTCCCAAGATGAACATGTTCCTGAGATGATTAGGCACTACTCGGGCCCCTAGATCCAATTGCACTTCCATCTCAGTTCTATGCAACTCTACTCCCCTATCTTGCCCCTATGCTTTTTTTTTTAATGATTTTATTGATTCGATTATCACAGAGAGAGGTGGAGAGACACAGAAGTCTTCCGTATTCTGGTACTCTCCCAGATGGCCACAATGACCAAGGCTAGGACAGGACAAGTCAGCACCTGGGAGTTTGCTTATGTTATCTACTTGGATGGCAGGGGATAAACATTAGGAAACTTCAGGTGCTTTTCCCAGGTTGTCAGCATGGAGCTGGTTCTGAAGTGGAGTACCCTCGACATGAAACAGGTCTCAATATGGGATTCCTCTGCCACAAGCAGTAGCTTTAGCTGCTACTCCACAATGCTGGCCCTTTCATATGCATTTAATAAAGGTGCTAGTGCATACTGTGTGCCAGCCACAGTTAAAATCTCCACACATATGCTTTTATCTCCGGCTGTTTATAAGTAAACAAATTTCCCAAACACCATTTTCAGGAAATCAAGAAAATGTCGAGTTCTGCTGAAACTTGGCACAATGAACCATTCAAAAAAATCCTTGCAGGCAAGTCACCAGAAAGTGCAGCTGTAGAGTAGGAGGATTGGATGCCCTTTTTCAACTTTGTTTCTTTTTGCCAGTGCAACATCTAGCATGGGAAGACAGTAAGGTTTTAATGATGCCTGACTTAAAGTAGGCCACATAAAAGAAACAGAGCTAGTGTTTGAATGTGAACTATGATGTGTTTTTTTTTTTTTTTTTTTTTGACAGGCAGAGTGGACAGTGAGAGAGAGAGACAGAGAGAAAGGTCTTCCTTTTGCCGTTGGTTCACCCTCCAATGGCCGCCGCGGCTGGCGCGCTGCGGCACCGCGCTGATCCGATGGCAGGAGCCAGGAGCCAGGTGCTTTTCCTGGTCTCCCATGGGGTGCAGGGCCCAAGCACCTGGGCCATCCTCCACTGCACTCCTGGGCCACAGCAGAGGGCTGGCCTGGAAGAGGGGCAACCGGGACAGAATCCGGAGCCCCGACCGGGACTAGAACCCGGTGTGCCGGCGCCGCTAGGCGGAGGATTAGCCTAGTGAGCCGCGGCGCCGGCCCGTGTTTCTTCTCTAATTCACACAAACACTATAAAGCTCAGGTGTGGCTTGATAACATGTAGCAACATGCAGATGGTAAATCAAGGCATATGTGAAAATAGAACAGAGGAAATAGTTCCTTATGGTTAGCGTGTCCTAGAGGGAGCATTGGAGATCTCAACAGTGATGCCAATAATGGATCCACACTAACCAGATTGTCATGTTCAACTTCATTGCAATTAACTAACTCCCACTCAAACCAACATGTTCCAAATGGCCATACATGGCATTCATTCAATCACCACATGTCTAGTTGTAGATGTTTTGAACGGAGGTTCTGGAATCACAGCACCTGAGTTCACATTCTTGCCCTCTGCACATAAACTTGTGATTTGTCCTGCCACATATAAACTTGTGATTTGAGCTAACTTTTAATAAGGCTGAGAATAAGAGTTAGTATCAGAAGGGTTGTTATAGGAATACTACAACAGGGCTGGATACATGAATATCATGTGACAGTATGATAGGGCTGGATGAGAGGATGTTGTACAATTTTGAAACAAATACAAGTAGTAAACATTTGGCAATCCTATAGGAAACACTTCCTAAATCAGTTTGTAGAGAGCTCCACATGTAGTCTTCTTAGAGGAGGTGATCACAGGTTGAGGCAAAGCACATCAGGTCAATTATATGGAAAGCCATGTAAGTCACTGCCTATACAACACAGGTAATAAGATCTTGAATAAACAATGCATTGCAGTAACTCAAGCAAGGAGAAAAATAAGAGCATTTCAAACAAAAATTAGTAGGAGGAAGATATAATACTCAGATCCCATACACACACACACACACACACACAATATTTAAAAAAACACCAAAAAAAGAGCTAAATATTATAAAAGGGAAAATAAAATCACAATCCTTTAAAGACTAATAAAGAAAACAGGCTTGATAAAATAAAAGAAGAAAAAGGACACATTATATCTAAGAGAAATACATGAGATCACCCCAAATCTGATCCAAGGCCTGACAGGTTCCAATGTTTTATTTTTCATTAGTATGTATCTGAAAGGCAGAGATACAACTCTGATATGGAATGCTAGTGTTGCTAGTGGCAGCTTTACATCTTCTGCTATTACACCCAATACTAAGAGGAATATTTAAATGTACCCTGGAGGGGCCAGCACCATGGCGAACTAGGTTAATCCTCTGCCTGCAGCACCGGCATCCCTTATGGGTGCCGTTTCTGGTGCCGGTTGCTCCTCGCCTAGTCTAGCTCTATGCTATGGCCTCGGAAGGCAGTGAGGATGGCCCAGGTGCTTGGGCCCCTGCACCCATATGGGAGACCAGGAGGAGGCACCTGCTCCTGGCTTTGGATCAGTGCAGCTCCATCCGTTGTGGCCATTTGCGGAGTGAACCAATGGAAGGAAGACCTTTTTCTCTGTCTCACTGTCTGTAATTCTAGCTGTCAAATAAATAAATAAAAAATCTTAAAATAAATGGACCTTGGAATAGATGTAGGCAAGTCTCTTCCTCCAATGTTCAATGAGGAGCTACATAACTGTATATTGCTCTACAACTGATCCATGCATTATTCTCTCATTGTACATAGGAGAAGACTGTCTACCATTACAACTTTGCATTGGAGACAGTAGGACAACAACACAGTGCTATGTCCTTACACACCATGCCGTGTCTATGCCAGCTAGGAAATGCAAAGTCCATCCCTCCCTCGGGGACACACGTACACAACACATATTATTGCGCCCCATAAGAGCTTACATTTAGGAAATGGTAATCTTGTAAATTTAATTGGTGGGGATGGCAGATTCTGAAGAAAACAATCCCCACACCTGCCCGGTGACTGCCAGCTCCTCATCCAAATGTGTGTATCCCCCTGTGACACCTGACAGGACGTCCACCAGCTGAACACACTTAGAAAACCCCTGGGTTCCAGAGGAAAGCTTTCCCCATGTTTACCTTTTGTTTCTTTACTTCTGTCTTGTCCACTTGTGCAAAGCATTGAGCAGGCCTCTTGGTAGGGACTTGGCTGGTGGTGAGCAGGTAACACTGCAGCAGTAGTGCCTCGGGCTGGTGGCGCTGGGACTGTGGGGCAGAGGGAAACTGAGGGGAGCGACAGAGGCCTCACAGGAGTCACCCAGGATTGAACATCTCTCCACATCTGACGTCCACTAGCAAGAAGAAACAAACAAAAGCAATAAAATCTCATTAATCTGTGTCTAGGAGAAAATTAGCTGCAACTCATTCTTCAAAACAGGAGAACACGTTAGCTTAAAAGAATTGGCATTGGGCAAGTATAAGCAGGGGGTTAGATGGGGAAGAAAAGCTTGAATATTTTCAGTTTTAGTTTGAAGCCTGCAACCTAACTCCACCCCTTTACACCCACAATCCCATGCTGCACCTTAGTCTCTTCCAGAACCAGGAGGAGGGGACACTAAGTGCACTTGCACACTGAGTTCCAGGTGGAAATACCATTAAACTATCTCCAAAGACCCGAGGCACACTAAATTCTGCCCTAACTCCACCTCATTTGTATATTGAAGTAGAGGATCACACCTAACTCCACAAATTAGACCAATCATCACAGAAAGCACACTTTCAGCATCTGTCATGCTATCTTCTCATGGGAAAATCACTTTCTGTGGCTCTCCATGGGGAGTATTTCTCCTTGTGTCTTGACACACTCATGCCTGAATGTACTCTCTCTCAAGTAAATTCTGT